GGAAGCTTCCCCAGAAGGATCATGGAGAATGAATTTATCTACTCAGTCCTTTATCAGCCTGATAGAGGCTCTAACTTCACTGCCCCATACCATACCCACCTGTTCATGTAGTACTGAGCACTTGAAATGAATCTAGCCAAAATTCAGATGTACTGTAAGTGTAAAACACATACCAGATTTCAAAGACTTAGTACAAAAAAAGAATGTAAAATATCTTGTTTTCATAATCAGTAATTTTTATATTGATTACGTATTTAATATTTTGGATATTTAATTTTTTGGATAAGTTGTGCTAAGTAAAACATATTATTAAAATTAATTTTACCTGTTTCTTTTTGACTTTTTTTTTTTAAAAAGTCATTACTAGAAAATTTTAAATTATATATGTGACTCACAGTATATTTCTCCTGGACCGCTCTAGGAGAGACTGTCAAGTACATGACAGGGGTAGGTGTGTGTTGCATTGTTGGAAGGGTGAGGACAGCAGCCACGGAGAGAGTAGTCCATTAGGACCAGATTGTGAAAGACTGAATGCATTTCCCTTAGTAATCAATACAGGCAAGAAATCAGGCACAGGAAATAGAATGGGTGAAGACCCAAAGATGTGGGCAGGTGCATTGTGTTTAGGGAACATTCTTATACAAGTATGATTATTTTTCAAAAGGCATTTATTGAGTGTTTACTTTGAGCCAAGCATTGACAGCAGGACTTTTACATTTATTCTCATTTTATCTTCACACTACAGGATGAAGAAGAGGTTATTCTATTTTACCAAAGGCAGAATTGAGGCTCAGAAAGGTTAAGCTATTTATCCTCAGAGTTCTCCCTCTTTATCTGGAAAGCTTTTAGAGACAGGGAGCCTGTCTTAAGCGTCCCTCAGTTTTCCTGCACAGCACCTAGCAGCACGCAACTCTGCACGCGGTAGGCGCTCAGAAAATTTGTGTTGAACCAAAGATGTTCATTCTCAAGTCAGAGCTCCACGCGCAACGCCTGGGAGCAGAAGCACCAGAGGGCGCCCACGAGTCCTCTCGCCCGCCTGTCCCCAGGGCCTGGGCAGAATCTCAGGCCTGGGTGCGGCCTTTCAGCCCCAAGCAGTTGCGCGTCCCGGCGAGAAGTGGGGGCAAGAGGAGCCCCACGTCCTCTGTCCGCCCCGCCCCCTCCCCAGAGCCCAGGCGCGCAAAGCCGCCGGGTGCGGTACGACGACGCGACATCCTGTTTTGGGGGCCCGCGGCTCCGCCTGCGCCTGTGCTGATCTTGTCTTTCCTCGGGTGCTGACGCCAGCTCCCCTTCCCCCAGTCTCTGCACCTTCCCCAGGGGTCTGGGGCCTTCCTACTGTTGAATCACCATCACTCTGCACTCCCTCGGGGCTCGGAGCAGGGGTGGGGACTGCCCCAGCCTGACCCATTTTGGCCAACCCCGAGTCTTGGCAATCGCTCGACCCCTAGGCTTGACTGAAGGCACCAGGCCTAGGGGAGCCTGTTCTCAGCATCTTCTAGCGGGGGTTGGTGGAGGCGATACCGGGAGGGGGACAAAAGCTTAGAGCCTAGGCTAGGGCCTCTACCGGGGTGGGGGTGGAAAGGAGGGGACGGGGAGGACTGACCTTGGGAGGCATGACATTAAGGGCCTTGGAGGCAGAGGGTTGGGGTGAGGGAGCCCAGGACCTGGCCGGGGACGAGGCTGGGGGACTGGGGGGAGACCAGGGGTGGGGGACCGGCCT